CGTTATAGCTCGTTCTAGCGTTCGTTGCTATCCTCACCAAGTTTTACAAATAGGAATTCAAAGTTACAGTTGTTACACCAGGTTCGATGCTACAGTGAAGTGATTGGCTGGAACTCTTCTCGCATTGTCGAATGGAGGGAGAGCCTTTGGGAGTGGTGGGAGTCGCGTTGCTTGGCAACACGATACAAAGATGCAACGCAATGTAATGTTAACCTCTAAATCACAACGCTAACATAGCAAAAATAGTCATAGCTTTCGAATAATAGAACACTCGCCTTTTTTACATTAAATTTCATTTATTCAAGTAGAAACCAATAAAATTAACAGTCTTTTTCAATATTTAAGGCTCCCATACCTTTTTGGTCATTACATTGCATAAGTTCTTTATCGCAAATAGTTGTATAGAATTACGTTCTTGTTGTGTCTCAACTATGGTATTTAGATAATGGGGCCATGGATACGGGAGTTTCTACTGTACTCTGATCTTATGAAACATCTTATCCACTTCTATCTAGAATTATGTTTTGATATTTCTGTCATATCGGTCTACTCCTGCAACTGTATCTTTTTATCTGTTATTTCATTACTCTTATATTCATCTCCTTCCACTCTACATATTTATTCTATCGCTTCTTGACTGAAACCTTTATTATCGAAATATTGCATTTTTTCCCCCTGCCCCGTGACCCTGTGTCGTACATTAATTTCTGTTTATTTTGGAAATGGAATATATACTCTGTTCAAAATTTCTAAAGAAAACAATTTATTCGAATTGCTTAAAACATTCAACGATATATACAGTGACTTACGAAAATATTCGGACACTAAGGCATGTCTGAATTAATCACATCGTATTGCAGATGAAAAAAGAATGGTGTGGCGGAAAGCGAATGAAGAGTTCCACTATCGAAACACGAGAGGTACCGTAAAACACGGCGGAGGCAGCGTGATGGTTTGGGGCTGTACTTCGACCAGAGGAATTGGCAATTTAGTTTTTATTGACATCATCATGGACAAAAACTGTCACTTACACCTACTGAAAAATGATTTATTAAATAGTGCAGAAAAAATGGGAATTCGCAACAATTTTAAGTTTTATCAGGATAACGACCCCAAACATAAAACACGCATTGTTCAAGAATTCTTGCTTCATCGTTGCTCGAAAGTTCTTCATCCTCCACCACAATCGCCGGATCCCAATCTCATTGAAAATTTATGGATAAGTTAGAACGCAGAATACGAAAGACAGCAATTAACTCAAAAGAGAAACTAAAACAAAGATTGTTGAAAGAGTGGGCTGCTATCAGTACGAATTATTTGGAAAAAATCATTTTTTAATATGCCCAACAGATTAAGGCACGTATTGAAACAAAGAGACTATGCGACAAAATATTATAAAATGTGATTATATAAATAAATTAGGGTTATATAATGTTACTTACGCCAAGTGTCCGAATATTTTTGTGACGTGAAAATTGGGTATTATTTTATTTATAATTTGTCATAGTAAATCATATAAATTTATTAAATAAAACACATGGTTTTGTTAACTTAAGTAAAGATTTTATCCCCTGAATAAATAACGAACACGATCCGTGTATAAGTATCTGCGATACCAAGTGATTAATTCAGGCATACCTTAGTGTCCGAATATTTTCGTGAGTCACTATATATATTCCGACACGAAACAAAACTTAAAAAGACATCGTTAGGGTCTTCTAACTGCCAAGTTTCAAATGCCTAAATAACTCAAGATTTGGTGTTTTTATCTTCACAACTTTTTCTTTGACTTTTATTCCGAAAGATTCCTTTTTATATCCGTTTATTGCATCGAGTAAAACAAACTTTGTATGAATAAAGATTAATTTCTATACTTTTTATTTTAATTTTACGTGTACCTTCCCTTTTATTTCCCTTCACATACGCCGACTGCGATAGGTGGACGAATACTTATGCGACCGACTGTACGTACGCTTGTTCCCTCCATAGACCAGGTTCCAAATTAGTTATAAAACTAGTGTAATATAGAATCTAATAAATGTGAGCTTCTTCATTTGATGAAACAGGCTATCATTCATTTCTTGTATTACACTGACGTATAAGACACAATAGTTATCAGGATATCATAACAAGATTTAAAGTTACAGGAAAGTTGAAGATGATAGAAGACAAATTGTGCCTAAGAAACAATTTTTTGAAAAATTTTTCGAATTCTTTGGCTCCCAGTCAGAGAGAAAGGTCATGAACAAAATATTCGTCTTATAGATGCCTCCGAGTTAGAGGTTTGAATTATCGAAGTTCGACTATACTATAAATTCATAGTTCGGAAATTGTTAAAAAATTTCATAAAAGTCTTTAACCCTTTATGGGTCGAATTTTTTTCTTAAATATAACAAAATTTATGAAACGGAAAATCAACGATTATAAACCTATATATACAGTTTAAAAAAAATTTATCAATTTATACAATTTTATTATAATTAATTCATGTAACTTTTAAGTAACAACGGCTTATACTTCTATGCATAAAAGCTTAAGAGTGAAATTCCATGAAACAGTTTGCACTCATAGTATCGGCAACTCTTGTCTCTCAGACTCTTGCTCTCTAAGAGCAGACACTCTTGTCTCTGATTACCAATGCATTTCAGACCTTGGTAACCAGTAAATGAATATAAAGAAACAGCAACCAAAGAATTGTTCAATTTCGTTCGCTGAAACACCTATAGGTTTTGCTATTTTTTGTGGTCCTGAATTTCTTCATCTGATGATGATTCAGTACTAAATTCATCGTCACTGTCAATAATTATGCGTCGTCGAATAAATACTACTGGATAATCGTCATCGAACTCAGAATCTAATAAAGAATCTTTGAATCTATTACTGCTAATGCATCTAATTCTAATTCCTTTTTTATTTTTATGTGCTTTTGTATTCATATTTTGGGTATATGATATATAAATCTGAAACTAGAAGACAGCACAAGCAGTATTCTAAATATATATACCGAAATCTACCATGATAGCCCACTGTAACCTGAAAGTCACAAAACTATATTTTACAATTGTTACAAATAGTAACAAAATGATTATTGAAATGTAAACAAATAAATTGTTATTAATATACAAACCCAGAGCTATTATGTACGCTTTTTTGATTAGTAAACACTGACAGAAGCACAAATAATGTCAATTGCACAAGATGGTTCCATTGGTTTCTATCTACAGACAACTTGCAAGGCATTTACTTTGATATTTCAGTGATGGTGCTGCCAACCATCATCAATATTGTTATTGGTTATCTCAAAGACATTATATAATTAAAATACATACATTATCTTGTAAAGAAACTAAAATTATTTGGTAAAATGTTGATATATTAACATGTGATCTGAAAATTACATGGGCCCATAGATGGCCAATATAAGTGGTAATGTCGAAATCGTTATAAACATCAAAATAGCCAGTAAAGTGGTTTACTCTATTTGTAGACATAACACTATAGTATTAGTAAATAATTGAAGATTAATTCTTTGTAGTTTGTGCGATATCTTCCAACCTGTATATTGGAGAACAATTCATAAATACCAGCTTCCATTTTGTATTATTAAGTGCAGGCCACATTTATAATTTAAAACATGATCGGATGAAAGAAAGTGACATTTCATTTATATAAAAAGCATATCTTGTGTTGGAAATATAATCAGTATTTTTATCCTATTTTCTTACTTTTGGAAGAAGGAACATTAATATTTATCATAATATGAATAATATATGTTTTTTACATATTTATATATATATATCTACATGTGAAATTATTATTTGTAGTGACATTCTATTAAAAATATTTCTTATAATAAAAAGTATATAAATTTTAAAACTTCAAGAAAAACAAACATTTGACAACTTATAATTTATTTAGCATAGTAGACTTGATTATCATCACCTTAAAATAAAACAATTTTTATAACTCTCAAAACTTCTAACTTTATAAATTCATTAATTTATAAAAGATATTTTTAAAGTATTGTTCATGAAATTCAAAAATACTTTTGTATTTTATGTTTCTGTAAATAAAAACATTATATTTTAACTAGGTCTGTAAATGTATGTACATGTGAAAAAATATACAAAGTTTCCTGTGATAAATACCAAAATGTTATTATTTTTATTTATATTAATTGCGTAAACATTACAATTATAGTATATAATATACTGTTTTATTTTCTTTTTTGCAAGTTTTATTCTTCTAATCAAGCTAGAGTTTCTTATTATCTTATAAGTAATTATGAAAAAATCTATTGCATACTGTACTTTTTATAGTATAAATTATAGCTTCATTTATAGACTAAGTTCATTATATATAAGTTCATAAATTATATTGTATCAGTTAAAATAGTTTAGGGTAACAATAATTTGGTAAAATTAATAGTAATTTGAGTAATTTGACAGTAATTTGATCTTTTACTTTATTATTAATTATAAAATTAGGGAGATTGCAATAAAGCATGTGTTAACAATCTCACTATTTTAATATATATAATATTATATATAACTGTTGAAAGATCAACCATTATTATATATAAATAGAGGATAGGGAATTGTGCTTGAAAATGTTATTTAAAACATTTATTTATCATTTACTATCGTTATTATTATATTTAAGATTGATTTTATTAAATCAGCATTTTATATTATTTCTAACATAATTACTGTAATAATTATTACTATATTTAAATAATTCCTAAAAATATTATAACAGATTTATTTTGTTAATTTACATATATTTTGAAAATTAGAATAATTAAGTTTGGTGTTGTTTTACCATATCACGTTAATTATATAATATCAATTCTATGAGCAGTATCTTTAATCAATGAATATTTTCAGATGTTCTAAAAATAACTTCTTCAAATTGTTAATATATAATTTTAACCTGATATTTCTAATATTAAATTTTTCTTGGTATTACTAATTTTATTAATATACTGCTTTTTTTTCTAGGTGAAACACGCTTTTATAACTCGTTTCAACGAACTTCGTTCAACAGTGTACAGGGATTATACTATAAGTTTAGCATATGATATGGCTCAAGCTCGTCAGGAGACTGCTTTCTCAGATGCTTCAGACCTAGTTGCCCGCAGAATGGGTTTTATTCCTCTTCCGTTAGGCGTCGCAATAGGAAGAGTACTTTGCACGACTGTTACGTCATCTATCAAACCAGCCAACATAATTTTGTTGCTTCTAGCGTATCTCATTCTAATAGCGTTAAAGATTTTAAATAGCTTGATAATTCTTGGTAAAGCGTGTGATTTGATTTCGTCGCATTCCAAGGAATCTGATAATGAAGTAACGTCTCTAAAACATTCTTCAACTAGTACCGATATAAAGAATCCGAATCTAGCTACGGCAATGTTTTCCAATAGTGCAATTAGCTTAAATAATGTTTGCTTAAACGAAGCCGTTTTGAAGGAGGAAATAGGTAATGAAAGAACTAACACTGAAAACAGTCAATGAACCTTTCTATCTTTTATGTTAATACGCATGTATTCATTAGCACTTTGTTAAAGTTGTGACAATTATGTGACAGAAAATTCTCAGAAATGAACATAATGGTTTTATAAATATTTCTTAAAAAACATATGGATTTATATAAATCACAACAGTTCGTTTAATTTTTAAGAAAACAAAGCCTTTATTGAAAATGTTTTGATACGTATTATTGGGTTGTGAAAGGTGACTAAATGATATATATTTAACATAGTAGTACATACTTAATTACTTCAGTGCTTAAGATAATAATTATTCTAAACACAGATAATACTTTTAAAATTGTAAAGTCGTAGTAAAAAATTTCTATTTTATTACTATATCATCAACGAAACAAAAAAGGTAATTAACTAAGGTATTAATTAACAAGTCTGAATAGCAATGAATTGAGATACCTTAGTTAAATCAATAATACAGTTAAATATGGTTATATATTTATATTCTTAAAATTTATGTACCATAAAAATATAAAAATTTTATAATTCAAATAATTGTTATTACTTGCTGCTATGAACTAAATATTATGATCAAAGTGATTTGTATGGAAGTAAAACCTATTGTTTCATATAATATTTTTATATTTATTCAGATATTAAGCTAAATGTAATAAAACAGGATTATATTATTTTTGATTACAAAATTGAGATTCAAATCTTCTCTTTCAGCTTTTCTGAAAAAATTGTCAAATACCTAATTTATATGTAATTTTTGCAAGACGGACTTGATTTTGCTGTACATTGATGCTATTAAATTTATTGTTAATCAACTGTTATTAATTATTATTTATTCTTAACCTTTGCAATTGCAATATTAGAATTTAATAATAAAAATGCTTAACTGCAAAAATTATAAAACTTAATTATTATGATACTCAGTTAGTAAACTGCTAAAACACTTTCTGATTTGAGATCTCATATGTACCTTCATCTTCTTCTTTACCCTTCCAACCTCTTCTTACCCATTCTAATGCTTTTTATTCCTGTTTGCTATCTATTAAATGTTTTAATTTAATATTACTTTCTTTAATTTCAAAATATTTATAAGATTTATTGTCTTATTTTATCCTATGCTATAAAACTTGCTATCTCTTTTTCTCTTGAATAATTTACATTTGTTATGACATAATTAATATAATCCCTATACATATAAATTAGTTTTCTAATATAATAAAATGTGCTGTTTCTTTTTTTTTTATAAACTATTTATATTTACTACTAACAAAATCAATTCATTTTGTATGTATATAAGTTTGTTTTCTTTTTTTTTCCCTTACTACTTGAAGTAAATGCTCCTTGGTTGGACAGGGTTTATAAAGTAGGGTTCAATAGATATAAACAAATTTTATAGTTTTACTTATAATTACACTGATTCGTTTATGAACAACGACTTTAGGTTTTGAAAATTTAAAATTGTCTATCGATATGAATATCGATATTATAACCGTTACTTACTATTTTTAAAGTTTAAAGTGATAGTTTAAAGTGATTCTTTTATTAGACTCACAAAACATTAGATTAACTATATTATTTCTTCACATTTCCCAAAATATTTATGTATACGTTGTAAAATAAACTTTTCTTCAAATAATAGTTAAAAATAATTGTTTCCAGCAGTGAAGCACATTTTTATCCGCCCTGTAAATTCTCAAATATTTATAACGAGTAACTTGAATATGCGTCAGTATAAATGTATTATAATTTTGTTTACAATAATGAAGAGAAATGCTTAATTGTAATTAATATGATGGGTCTTGCTAACAAAAGCATAAATTTTATTTATATAATGTATAACGTTTATTAAATATTGTTTTAAACAAAACAATGTCTAGTTTTATGTTTACAATAATATTCGCACATTTTTAAAAACAAATGGTTTTTTCGTTGATTTTCACAAACAAAGAATTATTTAATATTGTATAGGATATTCTTTTTGATTGCTAATTTTGGTGTACTTAATGTAGGATTAATGTAGAAAGTCTTTAATGTTGAAGTCTCTAGCAAGAGAGTCACTTCATACAACTCTATTTCTTTGTGTATTGTAACATTCAGTAAAAAATTAGATACTATGAAACTAGATATTGTTAAACTTTACAAGTTTTGTTTATTATTGTTTATTACGTCTAAATATAGATAAAAACTTACAAAAAATAAAGAACATATACCTTTTTTCAGAAATGCTTTACTCATAAATGTTTATTATTGCATCAATAATTGTAATGCTAGTATAATGATATTAAACATGTTTAGTAGATATACCTCTTTATCAATTAACATTTTGTATATGTTCGATTGTTGTTTTTCCACAGACAGTATTATTATTCTATTCCACAGACAGTATTTTTGGCTAAGTTTTTACCCGTGCATCTCTTTTTAGATTTCAATTTATACAGTGCGTAGGATAATTCATTTTCTTCGTGTATTGGAAATGTAATATTATGCACTGGTATTTTCCGTCTCTGGTCACTACTTTTAGTCACAGGTGATCGTAATATGTATAGATAGTTACCAGAATGAAAGAATGTTTTGAGTGTAGTAGCCTTTAAGACACACAGATTAATTGATTTGAGAATAATAAATGAAAAATTTTAATTTTAGTGTTCAAATTAAAATTCTATTACTATAGCTTAATTTACTTCAGTAAAATTATCTATATAAATACTGTTTTATATATTTTGAAATATTTTATATTTATTTTGTAGTATTTTATGTTGAATATTATATATTTGTAATTGTATGTTTAACATTAATATTATATATTTAACATTGTATTTTGTATGATCAATTTAAAAAAAATGACAGTGACAAAATTAGTTATATCTTCAATATAATTTTTGATTAGAACCTAATAAACATGAAAAAACAAAAATTTATATGTTGCTGATTTATTTATATTCTTATAATAAGAGAGGCATATTTAACAATTTATGTGTTTTTAATAATGAAATTTTTTACCTTTCAATAACAACATTGGCACAAGTTACTGACATTTGAAAACTTTCTTTACGTACATTTAACAATAATTAATTTTTGTAAATAGTATTACTTACTCTACCGTAAAACTCAAATTCTGATAAAATATTTCTCAATTCATTTATCCATAATATCATATCTCTTCCAAAGCTTTCACATGCTTCTAAATTTTCACTATTCAGTCTTTCCAAATAACGATCTGCATGATGTTCTGCATCGCTTCCCAAATTTCTTATGTACATTTTAAGTAATGTGATCATAGAAGCATACTTAGAAGATGTGAAAATTGTATCTTGTTTAGTAAATGGAAGCTTCATTTTTCTCAATTTTTATTGCTTATCTTCAAAAAGGTAAGTGATTTGCTTTTTAGGATAAATACTAATTAAATGATTCAAAGATATGTAATTTCAAATACAATGTTTTTTAGTTTATAAAAGCATAATTTAGCTTAAAAATAGTAACAAGAGTAGCTTCTCATATTTCATAAATTGAACAAAATATTCTATTTATTTTTAGCATAGTTTATGGTAACATTTATTTAAAATATATTGTAATTTTATAAATAGTAAAAAACTGTTTACTTGAAAAATATGTTAAAATTACACAATATTAGATCTCCTAAATTTCTTAAATAAATAAATAGAATCATTATCACCATTGGAATAATGTGAACAATTAGTTAAAGTAATATCTAACATGGAGGTATATTTATTCATTCATATCAACATTTATCTATGTATTGTAAATAGTAATAAAAAAAAAATTACATATATTACATTAGCTTTTCATTACAACAATACTCACTTTTACAAATTTTTATAGCTTTTACTACTCTTGATTTCTTTAAAAGTGAAAAAATTTTCAAAATACTCAATAAAACGAGCAAAACATGAACTTTTTCATTATATACTTTTACTGTAAATAAACTGAATTTGATTACATATCAAATAATAACAACTTCACTACTTATTTATTTCTAATTAAAGTTTGCAATGTGACATTACTATTTTTGTATTATAATGATGGAAATATATATTTTTCATATTATAAATATATAAAATCTAAATTACTTGATATTTGAATCATTAGAAAAGTTAAGACATACAGTATTATTCAGTTAAATTTAAAAAAAACGGGCGACAGCATTGCTTTTTAACCGAGCAGGCTAGCTAATTTTTCCAGAAATTCACTCGAGCATTGCCAGATAAAGAAGGAGAAGAGATATAACAGGAGGAAACAAGATATAGTACAACGAACAGCGGAGGTAAAAATTCGGCATTTCGATCGGACATTACAACTTGAAAAATTTTATTTTTCCTAATTTTTATGTTATCTTTGCAAATATAGTACCAATGCTGATTTTTTCAGTCAAAATGAGTACAATAAAATGAGCACAATAAAGTGAGTACAAGTATGATATAAGTTAAACTAATTTTTAATATAATAATTAACTTGATATAGATAGCAAGATGATACATAATAGCATAATAAATAGTACGACTTATGTGGTGTTTGGACTCGTTTTAATCACGAGGAACAATTTATTGGTACTATTTTCAAAAAGTTAAGATAAAAATTACGGAAAGTAAAATTTTCTTTTCTGCATGCTTGCTTCTTTTGTTAGCACCATCTCTTTGACTATATCTGTCTAACTCTTTTTCGCTTTATCGATTCTCTCTCCTCGTCAAGTATATCAGGTTTCACTGAGCTCGAGACATCGAGTGGTGAGAGAAGATTGGGGATGATCCAGTGTAATTTAACCGAGCAAATTTCAGTACAATTTAACCAAGCATTACTGTACACTCATTAGAAGAAAAAGGTTAATGTCACCGTGTCAGATCCTTATTATCATTAAAACTTTTCAATAATAAAATATGAATTTGTTTATTGGTGTATTACAATTTTTATACTCTTAACCAGTTAGCTGTGATTAATGAGTATACTCGTCATGAAGAAGTGGCAGGATTTTGTGTCATGACGAGTATACTCGTCATGCGTAAAAAGTAGTGACCATTGGCTATTTAAATTGTAATTTTTGTGAAAAATGAAACATATTCTCAAATTTCAGCCATATTTTGAGACCAAGCCGGAATGAAACAAACAAATAAAAAGTAAGAATAATTTGAGATGAACT